TTATTATATTTAATAACTATTTATATTTTGACCTTTAATAGTACTTTTATAAATATTGCAAAATCTCTAACTTTTTTTTATTTAAATTTTTCTTCTAATTAATCTAAATAATCTTGATATGTTCCTACATTGCTTTACATTTTTAAAAAACGCAATAATGTTATAACCAAATGTTTAATAATTTAAAAAGCAAGTCTTAACCTTTCAGTAACCAGGCAATGCTGAAGTAGTGCAGGTCAGGGCCGGATTTAAGCTTGGCGGGGTCCTAAGCTACTGAAAATGATGGGGCCCTTATAAGTTCAATTCTATTTCTATACACCTAAAGTAAACTGTCGTATTTTTTATTGCTGAATATCAACATTATATTATTAAAAATTTGATAATATTGCTTGACTGTTAAATATATTGGTTGTGTAAGCCGGGTGTAGAATTCGTATCGACCAGTCAACACTGGGATTCGAACTCAGTGCCCTTGAGTTCATCTTCACTGGGTAATAACTCTGCAGGAGGTACCAATTGTATTGATTTGCCAAATTTTAGTCATCTTCAAAATGCAAATAGAAATTCAATCGTAATTTTTGTAAAATAAAAAGATGGAAATAAACCGTTTTTCCTCTTAATCTGCAATGATTAGTCAGTAGCAACCATGAGGGTTAGTGTGTAAAATGAACAGGTGCTGTAGCTTTCTAGTTTTTTAAATACTTGTTAAATTATTAGTTTTTAACATGCATACTTTAAAATAAATAAGAAATACATTTTTCAGTATTAAGAAATAATAATTAAAAACTGTCATCAGCTGGAATAGAACCCGCGATCTCACAGTTTTGGGTTAGATTTCATAATCATCAGCCCCAAATATACACACCTGCCTTGCGGATATTTTATTATTATTATTTTTTTTATTTATTTTTTTAAATTTAATAAATGAAGTCATTTGGATACTTGACATTTTTGAACTGGATACTTTAAATGCTTGACATTCGTTATTACAGAATTAAAAGCTTAGAAAGACAAATATTAGTTAATGTTTAATATTTAACTAAAGAAAAAACATAACCCGTATTGAAATCTAACGAATTGTCTCTGATAAATTTTGTGGCAGTAAAAAAAATTTGAAGCCTGATACATGTCCTGATTTTTGAATTTTAAGATTATCAGAGACAAGACAATCACCGACTTATATGTATGTAAACACTTTTCCTTAATTTAAACTTTACTCGTTACAAAAAAAAGCATTATAATTGTATCATTTCTAATATTTGGTGGCACATTTTAACAAAAGTGCTGCGGTACAGTGGTTGAGAATCACTGCTCTAGACATTGAAGTAAATACTATATTTAGGAAATAAAAGTCAGACATTACAAAAAGTTTACATATTCAATTGAAGAAAAAAAAAATTATTTTAAAAAGGTAGAATCAGGATTGTTTTTCGCACTAACAAAACTATCAGGATTGAGAATAAAAGAAAAGAAAAATAATTAGAATACTTACTCATCCTCTCAAAGGCATCGGAATCACTTCTCATCCAAACGATCAACTCAACATTCAGAGGCTCCAATTTTCATTTCAACTCCTCCAAACTAATGCACTGAAAAGTAAGCCAATAGAAAAAAAAAATTGCATTTTATTCCCTTAAATAGAAATACATTGTTTAGAAAGGAATTAACATTTTAAAGGAAATAATATTTATGTTTACAACAGCGTTAAGCTAATTGCGCTCATGTAATGGGAATAAATGATGTTAAAAATGTAGTATATTTTCAGTCACTTTAAAAGATTACAAATTTTTTTTAATAATTTTAATGCTCACCTTCTACCCACCAATAAATCCTTCTACTGTGCAGCAAAATTAACAAAAATTAAACTTAGCAAGGAATACTTCAGGAACATGGACATGAACATAGTGGATAACAAAAATGCTCACATCAAATATAACAATTGAAAAGATTGGGAAAACAGAAGATCATAACAATAAAATGAAAGAAAAAAAATTGCTTATCTATATATATATTTCTCTTACACGGCACCAAAAANTGTTGTAGGATACTAGTCTTAAAATTTAGTCTCAAAAGTTACATGCTCAGCGACTTAATTCTAAGATCCGGACACAAAGCCTTATTGCAACACTTTGGGCTACCTGAACCCCATTTTGAATCTTAATCTCAGAAGAGATTATCTTGTGAGATTCAGTCAGCCACACAGATATTTGTCCTCCATGTGACGGGGGTTCAGGATTTTGGTTCTTTGCCATATGCACCGAGCGTTTGCGTACGACAAATGCATCCACATCTGAACGACGATCTTACACCAGAGACTAAATTCAAAAGACTTTCAACAATATTAATAACAATTGTTTTATCAATCACTTTCTTTGCTACAAATATCTTTTAGATAACATCAAATAAAAAAATTATAATTTTAATCCCCACCGTTTATGCATAAATCCTTTAATGGTGAATCAAAATTAACAAAAATTAAATTGAATTTAGCAAGAAATACTTCTTGAACATGAATGTGATTATAATGGATTGCAAATAAGCTCACATCAAAAATAACTGACGAAAAAGATAAGAAAAACAGATCATAACAATAAATTGAAAGTAAAACAAAATTGCTTATTAATATATAAAACATCACTAGTGTTGTAGGATACTAGTCTCAAAAGTAAGACTTAATTCAACAGACTTTTAACAATATTAATAACAATTGTTTTATCAATCACTTTCCTTGCTACAAATATCTTCTAGATAACATTAAAAAAAAAAATATATATATAATTTTGATCCCCACCGTTTATGTTTAAATCCTTTTATGATGTATCAAAATTAACAAAATTTAAATTAAATTTAGCAAGGAATACTTCTTGAACATGAATGTGATTATAGTGGATAGCAAAAAAGCTGACATTAAAAATAACTGTCGAAAAAGATAAGAAAAACAGATCATAACAATAAAATGAAAGAAAAACAAAATTGCTTATTAATATATAAAGCATCACTAGTGTAGTAGGATACTAGTCTTAAAATTTAGTCTCAAAAGTTACGTGCTCAGCGACTTAATTCTAAGATCCGGGACACAAAGCCTTATTGCAACACTTTGGGCTACCTGAACCCCATTTCGAATCTTAATCTCAGAAGAGATTATCTTGTGAGATTCAGTCAGCCACACAGATATTTGTCCTCCATGTGACGGAGGTTCAGGATTTTGGTACTTTGCCATATGCACCGAGTGTTTGCGTACGGACAAATGCATCCACATCTGAATGACGATCTTACACCAGAGACTAAATTCAAAAGACTTTCAACAATATTAATAACAATTGTTTTATCAATCACTTTCTTTGCTACAAATATCTTCTAGATACCATCAAATAAAAAATATATAATTTTAATCCCCACCGTTTATGCATAAATCCTTTAATGGTGAATCAAAATTAACAAAAATTAAATTAAACTTAGCAGGGAATACTGTTTGAACATGGATGTGATTATAGTGGATAGCAATAAAGCTGACATCAAAAATAACTGTCGAAAAAGATTAGAAAAACAGAAGATCATAACAATAAATTGAAAGTAAAACAAAATTGCTAATTAATATATAAAGCATCACTAGTGTTGTAGGATACTAGTCTCAAAATTTAGTCTCAAAAGTAAGACTTTAATTCAACAGACTTTTAACAATATTAATAACAATTGTTTTATTAATCACTTTCCTTGCTACAAATATCTTCTAGATAACATTAATAAAAAAAATTATAATTTTGATCCCCACCGTTTATGTATAAATCCTTTTATGGTGTATCAAAATTAACAAAATTTAAATTAAATTTAGCAAGGAATACTTCTTGAACATGAATGTGATTATAGTGGAAAGCAAATAAGCTCACATCAAAAATAACTGACGAAAAAGATAAGAAAAACAGATCATAACAATAAAATGAAAGAAAAACAATATTGTTTTTTAATATATATAGCATCACTAGTGTTGTAGGATACTAGTCTTAAAATTTAGTCTCAAAAGTAAGACTGAATTCAAAAGACTTTTAACAATATTAATAACAATTGTTCTATCAATCACTTTCTTTGCTACAAATATCTTATAACATCAACAGTTAAATTTTTTTTTATAATTTTGATTCCCACCGTTTATGAATAAATCCTTCTACCTATTAATATTTAATTTCTTAACAGTGAATTAATTTTCTTTAAAATGGAATCTGAATAAATTTTTAAGAGATCTCGTTTTATTTTTACAAAAAGAGCGTATTTATTGGGATCAAATGGCAAGCAAAGCATGGAAAAACGATTAGGGAAAACACTTGATGGAAGAATAATGGAATTTCTGATTTGCCGCAATCTATTAATAGCTCGATCTCCACAAAATTTAATAAACATTGCAAATAAATTATATAGAAGAAAAAGACAATAAAAAAATAATAATAATTAAAAGAATAAATAATTTTACATAAACTTACATGAGAAAACCACGCCGGCTTGTGGAATAACAACTGACAAGAAGAAGTTGAGTTGATATTTTGCTACTCGACCCAAGCGTAAAGTTTGAAAAGAACACTCAAGCACAATTCACACTGCATCTCTGATTGCCCTTGACGTGGGGTCGAATGTATAGAAGCAACGTATATCAAGGAGCATTCACACCGACTGCTACCTTATATATGAAACATAAATGCTGTACTTTTTGTGAGAAATGAAAGCATAATCTGGAATTTTAAATTAAGCCATATAAACTGTTATTATTTATTTTTCTTAATTAAAATTGCAGGGTTCGATCCCTGATTCTGCTAACCTCTCACCGAGAAGTGCATGCATTATACGTGCTCTGCAAAATCTCTGGAATGGAAAGTCCTGTGGTCAGTCGCTTAGCAGTACCATGGGTACAGGGATCTGGTGAAAATTTCTTTTCCCTTCATATCTATATATAAATTGAGGAGATGGCGTGACGAAATTTGTGATGGCAAACTTCTTCGGATCATTCTCAGTGATGTTTCCCAGACCGTTGTCAATAGCCCATTGTACAGTTCTAGTGCGACATAAATAAAAGTACCTAAAGTATCTACTCAACCTTTTGTTTCTAACCACTATCTCATCATAAGTTATATATAGTTTTGTTTAAAAAAAATATTTGAGGTAGNTAGCCCATTGTACAGTTCTAGTGCGACATAAATAAAAGTACCTACCTACATTAAAGTATCTACTCAACCTTTTGTTTCTAACCACTATTTCATCATAATTTATATATAGTTTTGTTTAAAAAAAATATTTGAGGTAGAATTCTTGGCCATGGATGGTGCGACTGAAAAAATACAATCACAGCCCCTTGTCCTAAGAACCTATGACAACAAAAACAATATATATAATTATTTTGAATTATCTCATATTTCCACGCCATTATAAAATGTTATTAGAATATGCCCGACTTAAGTAAATGTGTAAGGAAAATACTTTTTCCCCCCCTGTCATTTAATCTATCTCTCGTATCGTCGCATGACTGGGGAATTCCCCGATTCGCTAAATACATACGTTGTATTGTGTCATAGACAACATTTTTAATGTAATCGTTGAATTTTCTCTTCGTGCAATTGAATTTTCACTTCGGCTGAACGTTTCCTTAAATTTCTTCTCATACAGAACCACAAAGGGGAAGAACTAGCCACAGAGAATTGAAATTAATTAAAAACTGTCTTCGTTCAACTATGTCTCAAAACCGTTTAAATTCATTGGCCTTAATGGCAATTGAAAATGATGTATTGGAAATGGTTAACTTTCAGGATGTCTTGAACGATTTTGTAACAAGAAAAGTTAGAAGAGTTAATATTTAAGCTTATTATATGATTTTTTTAAATGCATATATTAATTACTTATATTCTTTTCGTTTGATTCAATATTTATATTGAATAATGTGATAATATACTATATATAATATACTGTGATATATAATAATTAGGAAGTTAGAAGATGGTAGGGGAGGGGGCCCGAGACGAGCATTGCCTAGGGGCCGCGACATGCATAAGCCGGCCCTGGATACTAGTCTTAAAATTTAGTCTCAAAAGTAAGACTGAATTCAATAGACTTTTAACAATATTAATAACAATTGTTTTATCTATCACTTTCTTTGCTACAAATATCTTATAACATCAACAGTTAAAAAATTTTTTTTATAATTTTGATCCCCACCGTTTATGTATAAATCCTTCTATTGTGTACCTATTAATATTTAATTTCTTAACAGTGAATTAGTTTTCTTTAAAATGGAATCTGAATAAATTTTTAAGAGATTTCGTTTTATCTTTACAAAAAGAGCGTATTTATTGGGATCAAATGGCAAGCAAAGCATGGAAAAACGATTAGGGAAAACACTGATGGAAGAATAATGGAATTTCTGATTTGCCGCAATCAATTAATAGCTCGATCTCCACAAAATGCAATAAACATTGCAAATAAATTATATAGAAGAAAAAGACAATAATAATTATTAAAAGAAGAAATAATTTTACATAAACTTACTTAACTAAACCACGCCGGCGTGAGGGATAACAACTGAGAATAAGAAGTTGAGCTGATATTTTGCTACTCGACCCAAGCATGAAGTTTGAAAAGAACACTCAAGCGCAATTCACACTGCATCTCTGATTGCCCTTGACGCGGGGTCGAATGTATAGAAGCAACGTATATCAAGGAGCATTCACACCGACTGCTACCTCATATATGAAACAAAAACGCTATACTTTTTGTGAGAAATGAAGGCATAATCTGGAATTTTAAGTTAAGCAATATAAACTGTTATTATTTATTTTTCTTAATTAAAATTGCAGGGTTCGATCCCTGATTCTGCTAACCTCTCACCGAGAAGTGCATGCATTATACGTGCTCTGCAAAATCTCTGGAATGGAAAGTCCTGTGGTCAGTCGCTTAGCAGTACCATGGTTACAGGGATCTGGTGAAAATTTATTTTCCCTTCATATCTATATATAAATTGAGGAGATGGCGTGACGAAATTTGTGATGTCAAACTTCTTCGGATCATTCTCAGAGATGTTTCCCAGACCGTTGCCAATAGATCATTGTACAGCTCTAGTGCGACATAAATAAAAGTACCTACCTACATTAAAGTATCTACTCAACCTTTTGTTTCTAACCACTATCTCATCATAATTTATATATAGTTTTGTTTAAAAAAAATATTTGAGGTAGAATTCTTGGCCATGGATGGTGCGACTGAAAAAATACAATCACAGCCCCTCGCCCTAACGACCTATGACAACAAAAACAATATATCTATAAAATAATTTTGAATTATCTCATATTTCCACGCCATTATAAAATGTTATTAGAATATGCCCGACTTAAGCTAATGAGTAAGGAAAATACTTTTCCCCCCTGTCATTTAATCTATTTCTCGTTTACCTAAATCCACGAATCATTCTAATTTCACTAATCTGAATATGCATAATATTTTGTAAATTGAAAACCTACCTCAATGTTATTATATTTAATAACTATTTATATTTTAACCTTTAATAGTACTTTTATAAATATTGCAAAATCTCTAATTTTTTTTTATTTAAATTTTTCTTCTAATTAATCTAAATAATCTTGATATGTTGCTATATTGCTTTACATTTTTAAAAAACTCAATAATGTTATAACCAAATGTTTAATAATTTAAAAAGCAAGTCTTAACCTTTCAGTAACCAGGCAATGATGAAGTAGTGCAGGCGCACATAAAAATGTTATCTATCACTCGTGTACCTATATGAATGAATCTTTCTTAATTTTATTAATCCTGATATGAAGCAAAATTGTTTTCTGAATTAAAAATTTACTTTTGTGATATTAATTGCAGTAACTATTNACGACAATGAGACACAACGGAAATCTCGAAACAGAGTGACCCTAAACAAGATTCTCCCACAGCCCTAGAAATTTTTTGCCCAGAAATCAGACAAAAGGGTGTTTTTGCGGAGAAGGACAAAAGAGCCCACAGCAATTTAAAGAAGCTGAAAACATTTCCCACAGTGTAAAATTGAGGCAGCTATTTGACTACTCCATGGAGTCTAGAGTACCGCTTTTTAGGATCCATGGACTACTCCCATCACTGGTAGCTACGAAAGCAACAGGATATTTTCATCAGTCAAAAGGCCATTTTATTGCTCTTTTGGTTAGAAAAGTGAAGAGTAACAATTATTTTATATTTGTAAACACTTCTATTAGATTTTGAAAAGCGTTCGCCAATGTAAAAAATAAAAATAAAATTTGTTTTAGTTTTCAGAGGGCTCCAGCTTTGAATAAAACTTTAAAAAAGAAGGAAAAAGTTGGATCTGGGGGCCCTTGCCATCTCGGGGCCCCAAGCTACAGCTTATTTAGCTTATACGTAAATCCGGCCCTGGTGCAGGTGCACATAAAAATGTTATCTATCACTCGTGTTCCTATATGAATGAATCTTTCTTAATTTTATTAATCCTGATATGTTGCAAAATTGTTTTCTGATTTAAAAATTTACTATTGTGATATTAATTGCAGTAACTATTAATTTTTAACCTTTAATAACATATTATTACATATTTTGCATTTAAAATTGCAACTTTCATCCCAATCTTATTTAAATCCTTTTTGATTTAAGTAATCCTGCTTTGTAACCTCATTGTCTTGTGATTCTAAAATTCACCATTATGTAATGAATTGCAATAACCATTTATTTTAAACCATTTGTTATAATTTCACCTCATGTTTGATAATTTAAATGCCAACTTTCGAGCTTTCAATATAAAGTCGCGAGACAATGTTCAAGTACTGCACGTGCTCATATTTTAATTTCTCAGTCGTGTACACGTATGAATGATGTACCCATAATCCATATGATCTTTTTTAATCACATTAATACTGATATGTAGCTTTATTGTTTTTCTGAATTTAAAATTCCTTTGAATGATATTAATTGCGGTTGCTATTAATTTTTAACCATTTAAAACATAATACTATATTTTTTTGGGTGGAATGACCTGTGTAGGGGTCAGAAAACTGGCCTTGCGTCAGAAAGGTTCTTAGTTCGAATCCCGGTCAAGGCATGGATATTCTTCAATTCTCTGTATTATCTGTCTTTAATGTGGGAGCAACGTTGGTCCACCTAATACGGTGCCCCTGAAAAAGTGGCCAACAAATCTACCCTTCAGATGGCTATATGACGGAAGGTCATTCTCCAAGTGGGAATTGGAAAAAAAAACAATATTTTTTGCGATTAAAAGCACAAATTTCTACCCAATTGGTAAATATCATAAGAATATACTCGACTGTAGCGAATACGAATAAAATTTTTATTTAATTTAAATCTTTCTTAATTAAATAAATACTGATGTGTGCTTTATTGTTTTGTGTTTCTAAAATTTCCCTAATTGTATTAATTGCAATAACCATTTATTTTTTAACTTCCATAATAATTTCACCACATGTTTAATAATTTAAATAATAACTTTAAACATTTCAGTAAAATGTCACGAGACAATGCTCAATCAATGCACGTGCACATAAAAATCTCTCTCTCATATTAATCTTTGAATTAATCTTTTTTAACTTTATTAGTTCTGATATAAAGCCTAATTGTTCTTTATTTGTCAAATTCATCTTAATGTCAATATTTACAACAACTATTTATTTTTTTAAAAATTCTATTGTAATTTCACTTCGTGTTTAATAATTAAAAGCTCGAGCATAGTGTAAGTGCGCATAATAATTTTATCTTCTTTGAATGTTATCACTTGGGTACTTAAAATGAATTTTTCTTAATTTTTTGTTTCAATCGTAATAAGCAGTCTATTGTTTTATTCCCATTATTTACAAAAACTATTTATTTTTAGACTCTTATTGTAAATTTTACCATATACTTCTAATTTAAAGCGTTGAAAATTTCAGAAAAAACTTCTCCTGACTAATGTATGACGCATGTGCACATAATAGTAAAACAGCATATTTCATGATATATAGATTTATTTGCTTTTTGCTCTAAAATTGAACATAATATACTGGTTGACCATCATCACAGCAAAACATCTGTTTCCAGCATATTTTAATGGTTGGTGCTAGTTCAACAACAATAAACATAACTTGATAGTTGGACAGTAATAATTGTAAAATAACATCTTCCAACATACTTTTATGGCTATTGTTGGTCCAATATTAATAACCATAATTTGTTGGTAGACCATCAAAATGGCCATGTAACATCTTCCGTCTCAATTTGATGCTGTTGTTGGTTCAACAATAAAAAAACATAGCATGATGCTTGAACCATCATAATAATTAAACAACGTATTCCATCATATTTTAATGGTTGTTGTTGGCCCAACATTAATGAACAAAAACTGTTGGTAGACCATCAAAATAGCCATACAGCATCTTCCATGATATTTTGATGGTTGCTGTGAGTCCAACAATAAAAACATGAGTTGTTGGTTTACCAACATAACGATAAA